TTTTTTTTTGAGACAGAGTCTCACTGTGTTGCCCTGGGTAGAGTGCCATGGTGTCACAGCTCATAGCACCCTCCAACTCTTGGGCTTAAGTGATTCTCTTGCCTCAGCCTCCCTAGTAACTGGGACTACAGATGCCCGTCACAACACCTGGCTATTTTTTGGTTATAGTTGTCATTGTTGTTTGGCAGGCCTGGGCTGGATTTGAACTCACCAGCTCTGGTGTAAGTGGCTGGTGCCCTACCCGCTGAACTACAGGCACCAAGCCAAGTTGGCCTAAGTTTCATAGACCAGACATGCACCACATGTATGTATCTGTATGTTATGCATAGTTCCTTATGTTGACCACCTCTGTATGTTGACCAGTTTGTTACAGTCCCTTGGGTGGTTAATGTCCAGAGGTTCTACTATATATATATAAAAACATTCTATTGGTTCTTGTTTTCTGGAGAATCCTGAATAATACAGAAGGAAAGGGGAAATAACTTTGGAAAGGCAAGTTGGTGCTAGATTGCCGAGGCCCCAGAATCTGTGACTAAAGGACTTGAGTTTTATTCTGAAGACAAAGGAGCAAACACTGAGGGTTTCTGAGCAGGGGAATGACATAATTGGAGCCGAGATCTGGGAAGATGAATGCTGTGCTGTGTCAAATGAATTAAAGCAGAGATTCTTAAAGGAAGCTTCTAGACCTTGGATGTGAATTCTGCGGGCATAGAGTCTGTGATGTAGAAAAGGTTGGAAACCCTTGGAGGTACAAAGGTACAGGATACAGGAGTAGATGTAGATGCCACAGAACCTGGAGTAGGTGGGGACTGAAGATGACTTTTGTGGTACGGAATAGCTGCAAGTTTGAAAATGGGGGTGGGAATAGGGGCTGGAAGAGGCATAGATTTGGAAGTGATCTACACAGAGGGTGGTGACAAGGACTTTGTAGGGGCAGACAAGCCAGGCAGAGGTGGCAGAGTGATTTGTTAAGAGTCTTATAGTTATAAGTGACCAAAACCTATTCAATCTGGCTCATGTAGTAGAGGAAATTTATTGGCTAATATGACTGAGGATTGAAGCAGGAGTGGATCCAACAGCTCATGCAATGTTACTGGGACTCAGTTTCTTTCTTTCTTTTTTTTACTATTGTTATATATTTTTTATTGAGGTTTAATTTATGTAAAATAAAATACACAGTTAAGATGTACAGTTCTTAGAGTTTTAATGAATGTATTTGCCCAGGTACTCCCATCCTAATTAAGACATGAAGCATTGGGTTCAGCGCCTGTGGCTCAAGTGGCTAAGGCGTCAGCCACATACACCTAAGGTGGTAGGTTCGAATCCAGCCTGGGCCCACCAAAAACAACAATGACGGCTGCAACCAAAAAAAAGCCGGGCGTTGCGGCGGGCACCTGTGGTCCCAGCTACTTGGGAGGCAGAGGCAGGAGACTCGCTTGAGCCCAGGAGTTGGAGGTTGCTGTGAGCTGTGATGACACGGCACTCTACCCAGGGGGACAGCTTGAGGCTCTGTCTCAAAAAAAAAAAAGACATGAAGCATTTTAATTCTGCCCACATGAACAGCCACTAATCTGAGTTTTTCCCTGCCTTCTCTCAGAACTCACGCAGATGGAATTACACAGGATGTAGCTTCGCGAACCTTTCTCTTGTACCACGTTGCTGAACTCCACCTGTCTGTGTGGTGTTTGTCTACTGCTAGGATTCTCGAGTGGGAATCATTACTGGTGACCTTTTACATCTAGGGTCTCTCCCTACTTTGCAGAAGTTTACAGCTAAACACATTAGAAGGGAAGTAGGGGGCACCGACCTGGGATTCTAAAATGGGATACAGGCAGTAAATGTTGGGGTCTTGACAGCAGCCAAAGTGGACTATTTGGTGGCCAAGGAAGACATCTGCAGGGGCCTTAACATTGGGGTCTAGGCTGAGTTGGTATGAGGGTGTCTGGGAATCTGCATAAACATGGGCTATCAAATAGTTGTCGCTGGGGGTTCTGGGCTGTGTATCTTCTATCTTCTTGGGAGGGATTGGTCTTGACTCCACCCTCTGGCACTGGCTGCTGTTGAGCTTGAGGTTGTTGCTGAAGGTAACATTGCATTTTGCTTTCTTTCTTTTTTTTTGGCTGGGGCTGGGTTTGAACCCATCAACTCCGGCATATGGGGGTGGTGCCCTACTCCTTTGAGCCACAGGTGCCGTCCGCTTTTTGCTATCTTGAGTTTTGTTCTGTGGTTCTCGAACCAAACCTGCAGTACTGTTGGATATGTCTATTTTTGAGGCCATCTTTTTCTGAAGGCTGCAGTTCAGGTATGGGCTCTTATCTCTTATCATATAACACTTTCAAAGCTTCCAATTGCTTCTCAATGAAAATGGTTTGTCTCCTGTGTGAATTTTGGAAGCTCTTCTGCACCTGACATCTTCTGATCTAGATGTGCTCCTCTGATCAGACCTAGGGAAGAGCTGGGACTCAGTTTCATGTCTCCATCTCTCAGCTCTGCTCCCTCCCTCTCTTTTGATCTCATTCTCAGGCAGTCTCTCGCCACACAGCAGGAGGCTAGCTGCCAGCAATGCCAAGATTATGTCTTACCCTCATTGAACTGGATGGTTCTGAACAGAGTTTCAGAATTGAATCTCACTGGATCACACGCCCATTGCTGAAGTTCTGTGGCTACAGGACTTTCTATAATCTTCTGATTGGCCAAGTTGGGGTCAATGTCGATT